AAAATAAGAATTGTAATAGGAACATTGCTTTTTTATACACAGCGATCAGAAAAGTACAAGACCCTAAGAGGGAACATTGTTGGCATATTTAAGGATGTAATACAGGAGAAAGCTCAATATGCCTGGGGCAGAGTAATGAGGTGAGCATAAGGGAGGAGGTTTTTTCATTTCATTTATTTCGTTTCAGGAGTTAGTAACCTTCAGAGATGTGGCTGTAGACTTCTCCCAAGAGGAGTGGGATTGTCTGGATTCTTCTCAAAGGCATTTGTACAGTAATGTGATGTTGGAGAATTACAGGATCTTGGTATCACTGGGTAAGGATTTCTTCCTCTTGTGAAATTAGACTTCTACTCCTAAGGCACACTTTGCTACCACACTATGACTTTTTGCATGGCATCTGCAAAGCTTGGCTCTGTGTCTGCTGTGTGTGCCAAACAAATGGCTTAGTATTTGTGGAGTTAGCAGTGGACAGGTTATTACTGAACCATGCCTAAAGCTTTATTTTCCCTGTCCTTCTAAAACATGTCCTCTACACATTTTTCTTTGACTTACTATAAGCTGCCTCTTCCCTGCTGATCAAAGAATTGAGTTTTGTGCTGTCCACAGCATGACTAAATTCTGTTGCTTTTCATATATGCAGGTCTTTGCTTTTCTAAGCCAAGTGTGATATTATTGTTGGAACAAGGAAAAGAGCCATGGATGGTGAAGAGAGAGCTGACAAATGGCTTGAGCTCAGGTGAGTGAAGAGAAAATAGGCAGGCAAAAATCTTTGCAGGTGGGCCAGGGATTTAGCTTAGTGGTTCTGCCACCTGCCTTGCAAGTGCAAGGATCTAAGTTCTATCCCCGGTACCAAAAAAAAAAAAAAAAAAAAAAATCTTTGCAAGTGACAGCTTAGCTTGACTCCAAGAAATTACCTCTTCTTTCCTGTTTGTGACACATTCTCAAACATTCTAGAACTTGACAAATGTGGGGTCTTCTAGGATGCTCTGTACTCATACTTTGCCCTCTCCTTTCTAATAACTTACTTATCTATTCTTTGAATCCTGTCTTCTCTCAGTTTCACAATCCTCTTCTGGTCTTTAAAAAATATTTTCCTGATTTAATAAATTTTTGAGCCATACTGCAGTAAATGAAGCACTAGCTTTAAATCTTGCTTGACACTTACGTACATTGAAACTTCAGGAAAGTACTCTCTGTGCTTTTGTTTTGTCATTTCTAAAATGAAATAATACTTCTACAGTGATGTGAGAAGTTCTGTCTTGTAGTATGAACTAGTGTGAACAGCTGTAGCCATCAGTAGTAGTAGTCGTCTTCGTCGTTGTCATTGTCATATATCTCCAAGTGCCTCCTTTTTCTCTGAATGGTCAGTTCATCCATTTATGCTTTTCATCAACAGCAACATTACTGAATTTGTACTTTACACAGTGTCCTCTCAACACCACTCCCTGCTCACTCTCTCTCCTCCAACATGCTAGGGTGTTATGTGTAACATACGCATAAAGGATTAATAGACTAGCAGTATAGATACAGTGTAAGTGTAAAATGGCTTATCTGAAGAGAAAAAGTGAGAAGCAGAGGCGTCTGGGTAACTGCTAAGATGATGACCTTTGAAAATAGAGTAGGAGCTAGAAAATATTGGGGAGAGGAGAGTGGGCATTTGGGTTTGTGGTGTGAGAAGGACTTTCTTTTTGGGTTTTTGTTTTGTTTTGTTTTCATTGTCCTTTTTTTTGTTTTGTTTTGTTGGTTTTTTGAGACAGGGTCTCACTATGTGGTTGAGACTGACCTGGAACTCACTATGTAGCCCAGGCTGGTCTCGAACTCACAGCAATCCTCCTGCCTCAGCCTCCTGAGTGGCTCCCAAGTGGCGTGCGCCACCACACCCGGCTAAGGACTTTCTAATTCTCGTAGGAAACATTAAGGTGAAAGGAAGAACTAATTTGCTATCGTTGTAAACATCTCTGTCAACCCTACTTCTCAGGTCACGCCTCATTGCCTGTACCTGATCTTTTATGTCCTTGTGCAATTTTGGGGGTTTTTTGTTGTTTTGTGGTACCGGGGATCAAACTCGGGTCCTTGTGCTTGCGAGGCAGGCCACCGAACCACTGAGCTAAATCCCTGGCCCCCCTTGTGCAATTTTCTAAGAAAAAATCTTGGTAAAGAAAAGGATATATGATTAGATCATCATCATTATTAAATAACACACGTAAATATATATTAGCATGTATATGTAGTTCAAAAAATAAAACAAAAATCTATGTAACTACTTTGGTCAACTATCACCAGGGTTACTATAATAACTTGTCTCCGTTTTCCCTTCATTCTACCGTGTAGTATTTTAATAAAATAGCAACCAGATACCATTTTTCTCAAAATACTTTAATTGGCCTCCATTCTTTCAAATATAAAACCCAGATTTATTGGAAGGCCTATAAACTTAAATAAGTTGACCCTCCTTTACCTCCTGATTTCATCTCCTACTACTCACTCCTTTGTAACCACACTGACCTTCTTACTATTCTTGAAATGTATTAAACATTTGTATACTTTTGAGTCTTTTTATGATCTGTTTCTTTTATCCTTAATACTTTTTTCTAAAAATCTTGAGTGCCTAACTTCTCTTCCTTCAAATTTTTGCTCACGTTACCTTATTGAGCTTTGCCTTTGATTTCACCAGCACCCATGACCATGATTTCTTTTTACCTTAGCATTTATTGTATTTTAATATAGAATAAAATTTATACTTGCTTTCTGTCTAAGAAAATAAGGTCCATGAAGTTAAGGATCTTTGTTTTATGGTATTGAAAGTATCTAGAACAGTACCTGGTACTGGTACATGGTAAGTATTTGATCAGTCACTATTCTTCTTTTTTTTTTTTGGTACCGGGGATTGAACTCAGGTCCTTGTGCTTGCAAGGCAGTTGACAGGACTGCTGAACTAAATCCCCGGCCTGATTAATCACTATTCTTGAATGATGCAGCTATAAAAACAGAGATTATTTTAGTGACTATATTATAAGCACAGGTCTAAAATTATAATGGGGCCCAACCATTTCTATAATACCTTCTTGCCCTGAGATTCTCCTTGATTTTATTATAATTATAATCATTCTTCCTAAAGTTTCTATATGATTTATTTTTAGTTTCTCTTCTTGCATACTTCATAGTGTAAAGGCCAATGTACTTTGGGGTTTTGCCTATTATTTTTTAAATTAACATGCTTAACTTTACAAATGTACTTTTCCAAATGTACTTTCTGGTGTACAACAGAGGAAACATTCTCTCTTTTTATAACTTTCCAGGTTGGAAATCTATGTGTGATACTGAAGAATTAACACCAAAGCAGGAATTTTATGAGGAACAATCATCCCAGAAAATAATGGAAAAATTTAGAAGCTGTGACCTTAAGTACTACAGTTTGAGACAAGACTGGAAATGTGAGGACAGTTTTGAGAGGCAACCAGGAAATCAAAAGGCATGTTTTAAGGAAGAGACAATCCTTTATACAGAAGCCTTTGTTGATGAAAGCAATCAAGATTATAATAAATCATGGAAGAGTTTCTACCAGAATACACTGCTTCATGCACAACAGATAATCCCCAAAGAGGAGAAAGTATATAAACATGGCACACAAAAGAAAAGCTTTAAAGCAAATTTAATGACTATTAAATCCAAAAACGTCTATGCAGAGAAAAAGCTTTTAAAATGTAATGATTGTGAAAAAGTGTTCAGTCAGAGCTCATCCCTTACTCTTCATCAAAGAATTCATACTGGCGAGAAACCCTATAAATGTGTAGAATGCGGAAAAGCCTTCAGCCAGAGATCAAACCTTGTCCAACATCACAGGATTCACACTGGAGAAAAACCCTATGAATGTAAGGAATGTAGGAAAGCTTTCAGTCAGAACGCACATCTAGTTCAGCACCTGCGAGTTCATACCGGAGAAAAACCTTATGAATGTAAGGTATGTAGGAAAGCCTTCAGCCAATTTGCTTACCTTGCGCAACATCAGAGAGTTCATACTGGAGAGAAACCCTATGAATGTATTGAATGTGGAAAAGCATTTAGCAATAGATCATCTATTGCTCAACACCAGAGAGTCCATACTGGAGAAAAACCATACGAATGTAATGTCTGTGGGAAAGCATTCAGCCTTCGTGCATACCTTACTGTACATCACAGAATACATACTGGAGAAAGGCCCTATGAATGTAAAGAATGCGGGAAGGCCTTCAGCCAGAATTCACATCTTGCTCAACACCAGAGAATACATACTGGAGAAAAACCTTATAAATGCCAGGAATGTAGGAAGGCCTTCAGCCAGATTGCCTATCTTGCTCAACATCAAAGAGTTCATACTGGAGAGAAGCCTTATGAATGTATAAAATGTGGGAAGGCTTTTAGCAATGACTCATCCCTTACTCAACACCAGAGAGTCCATACTGGAGAAAAACCTTATGAATGTAATGTTTGTGGGAAGGCTTTTAGTTACTGTGGATCCCTTGCCCAACATCAGAGAATTCACACTGGAGAAAGACCCTATGAATGTAAAGAATGCAAAAAAACCTTTAGGCAACATGCACATCTTGCTCATCATCAGAGAATTCACATTGGGGAGTCACTCTCACCACCGAATCCGGCCAACCACCAAGTCCTATAAATCCTATCTCCCAAATATTTCTGAAATTTATATACTTATATACTCTTGTCACACTTTAGTGTTGTCACCTTAAAGCTAAGATTCACCTCACTAAGATCATTGTAGCTTTCTAACAGGTCCTGTATCCATTTTTCCTTCCCTTAAATCCATCCCACAATGCACCCAAACATCTTTTTAAAGTAAAAAAAAAAAAATTTAACATATTACTATGTCCAGTTAAAACTGTTTTTTTGCTTGCTGTTGTTCTTGGATTAGTATCTACAGCCTTTTGAAATTGTCTATGAGGCTCTCCATTATTTAGTTTTACATACCATTCAGCCTTATTTTATTCCACCTTCTTTTAGGCACAAGGCACTTCCCAGGACTAAGACCTTAGATTCTGGAAAATCATAGCTCTATAACCACTATAACCATCGTGTGACTGAACAACTTCTCTAAACCTCAGGGTTTTAATTCTTAAAATAGGGATAATAAAAAGATACTCTATTGTAAAAATGTGACTAATAAATGAAATAATGTCTTGTAAATTGATGTATATTACATGAGAAAATTGCATGTACTTTCCATAGATATCAAGCAGAGCAGATATTCAATAAATAATAATAGCTAACATATACTGAGTGCCTACTACACACCAGGCGCTGTACTACACACTCAGCATATATTAATTTACTCCTCACAGCTAAAATAAGATGTGTTAGTGGACAAAGTAGACCATCCATGAGAAACACCAGATCAGAATTGGGAAAATCCAAAAATTCCAGAATATAAGTGAGAGTCTCTATACTCTAAGTGAATAATCAATATAGATATAGGCAATAGAACTACAATACTTACAACCAGTTTTACAAAATTTTAAAGGATTGCATTGGAGCAATCAAAAATTTTAAAAATAGGATTCACTAGAAAGAATGCACAACATATTTAGATCAAGGAAATCAGTGATTATAATTAGAAGAAGAGAAGCAATGAACATAAAAATCATAGGTTCCATTAAAAGGCACCAAACCTGGGTATTTACATGGATGATTCAGGTAATTTTGAACATAGGTAAAGAAGATGTGAAGTTTCTAAGTTTTATCCAGTGGTTGCAGAGTTGAAATAAAAAAGGAAGGAGGAAAACTATCGTGAATACCGAGTAGCTACTATTTGCTAGACACTGAAGTATGACGAATTAACAATGAGCAACGCAAAAGCCATGTTATCATAGAGTTAAATTAATACTTAATGTAAAACCATCAATTTTCTAAATCCAGAAAACTGAAGAGTAACAAAATAAATTACATGTTATACAGCCTGTGCCGAAGAGACACAAGACAATGGAGTTGATAGTTCCTAATTCACACATTCCCTGCAATTTGGCCAAAATTCCTCAATGTACATTTTTGCCATTTAATTTCATAAGTTGCTCAGAGATTGATCTATGAAGCATGAGTTCTTTAAAAGCAAC